GATGCACGCCAACAGCACGGACCGACCACCACAAAAAAGAATGATACTTTTATTTTCCACAGATTTTTAAAGATACTTTGCTACATAGTTTATGTATTTTCTATCAGACTATACAGGTTCGTCTTCATGGAGTCCGACGTTGTACAATTGTAAAGTGATATGTTTGGTAGTGTATCTATAACGCTTTAAAAAGTTTAGAGTTTTTCTCTTTTTCTCTTTTTTAATTTATTTTTGGAATGTACAGTATATGAGGTAAAATTAAGATTACATTAAAAACTGTCTTCAATGCAGTAATACGCACTGAGGCTCAAATGGCAAATACACTATTAAATGACTATCAAAAATAGGAGCTCATTTGAATTTTACTATGAAAAACAGAAGTCACTGCAGATTAACTGTAGTAACAAATCTTACCGTTTTAGACATTCAACCGTAAGAAATCTCTGGGCTGTTACACGCAACCTCATTTGCACTGCCAAACATGGCACTTTGAAGAAGGTTCTAGAAAACATCAGTTGTCCTGCGGGAAGGTATCAGCCTATACGTACAAATGACAGATTGGAAATAAAGTGTAAACATACAGTACAGTTTAAAGACAGAGCGCTCTCGCCACGCGGAGGCCGAGTTCTTCGCCATTTCTTCTCTTTTGTTGTTTTTAAAGTAACGAAACTCAGCAACATTATTCTACAGCACAGATCATTGGACGTATAAACAATTACAATACATGCCCGTTCTAATATAAGAGAAATTCTTCAGAGATCTTCAAAGCACAAGACAGAGGTTCCTTTTTTTATTATTATTAAGACCAACAGAAGTGTTTAATACCATTAAAAATGCTAAACTGAACACAACTAGAAGTCATTAATGATCCACTATCTTGTAACTCAAATAAATTAAGAGTAGCTAATTACAAAGTGTATAACAAATAACGTAAGTGTGATGAGACAAGGATTTTTTTTCTTTTAAAGATAGTTTCACTACAAGCTTTGTGTCACTGGCAATCATTGACATCCAGCGAGATGTTCAATGGGATACTTGATAAAATTCAGTCTGGTCATTCAAGAACTCACAAACGCAAGCTCACGAAACATTGATGAGTTATGCAATTGCAAAGTGCTCTAATGCAACATTAACTACATGCAATCAACAATTTGGTACAGTATCCAAAGAGACATTACATTAAACATTAGGATCTCAAGAAAAAAGCAGCTTTTAAGTTTTCTGGTGCAAATTACTACGCTTCGTCTTCTGATTTGGTGCCCCAAAGAAAGAAAGAAAGAAAGAAAAAAAAAAAGAAAGAAAGAAAGACAGAAAACAAAATATAAAAGGCAGTGCTTGGTTCTGGTGGATATGGCAAGTGAATGCTGGGGAAACAGCAAAAATTCAATGATGAATTTTATCTCAAACAACTATTAACTAGCCAAAATCAGAGGGCACAGACATCTGTATAAACTGCATCCAGTCAAAGGTCAACTTTGGAAATGTGTTTTTCAATTTACGTAGGAAGTCTAAGAAGTTCTCTCACACTCTCCCTTCTCTATTTTTGAGAAGTAAAAGAGGCATTTTTGTAAGTAAACATCAAATCCTGGGGGCAAGATAAACCACTTGTGCCATCCCCTTGTAGTCTTTCAAAAACATCTACTTGCAGTGAAGAACTCCACATTTATCAGTAAGAAGCTTCCTTCATGCACACTCTTCCATCCAGTTTATTATTTGCTGCCTGAGAAAAGCCCCTTCTATTTTTCAGCATAAATCCTGCTTCCCAAATAATTAAGACAAATGAGGAGGTAGAAATACAGCGCTAAATTGCTTTCACAGCATCAGATTAATATTGTATACAGCACAAGTTTGTTAGTGTAAGTTTTCAATGCGATTACACATTCTTCCCTGTGACGGTAGCAACCCTTACAAGAAGTGTGGGTCAGGAAACCGTTCTTACACTCATGTTTACTGCTCAAACCCTTGTCATTAAACACACCTTGCCTGCCCCATATAGAGTTTGTACTGCAAGAAGGCATATTAAAGAAAAGATTGTATTTCTGTGGCTTGCATTCTAATAACATGTGTCAGCCTATACCTACCGGTAAGCATTTTAAAGTGGCCGAAAAGGTTTGCATCAGTCCCAATGCCGGTGCTAAATGCCTGTTGTTTTTTTTTTTAAAGCAAGAGAACAGAATTACTTTTAGATTATGAGAAAGTAAAATGTAATGGGGAGCGTTCTAAAATAAACCTCTCTTCACTTTATTACAAAGTACTGAATTATAACAGCAATCAGAATGGAAAAGATAGCAAAAAGTGCAAGGATGACAGCAGCGCACACTTGGTCGCTCTGTGACCATTGTGTCCTTGTGGTTTGCACAGCGTCCTTGTTGGTGCTTGCCGGTGGTTCAGTCCTCTGAGAGATGAATAGCACTGGGGCACTGTAGGGGCCTATCAGGTCCTGGTGACCTACTGTCTCTTGGCACTGGCGAATGGCACACGCGCGGAAACGGTATTCACAGTTCAGCTGGAGGCCTGTGTATCGGAACGACCAGTCTGGACCCTTATAAATCTAGCAGTAAAGATAAAACAAACAGATACATCTAATAAAGACATCCTACATACACATCTCGGTATGGTTTTGTTTATGGTGGAGGTAACTGTAAAAAGGGTGACTCCTCACCAGTGTTTTCACCCATGCAGAAGAAAATGGACAAAAAGCTCACAGACGCAGTTTAAATGCCAGGTAAAAGCTCCAGCCCTTTTGGTGAAACAGGAAAAGAGCTTCTATGGCATGGTGAGTACACACTAAATCAACTCTGTAGGAAACCCTGGTGTTTTATGTTGTTTTAGTGACCACTTACAATGTAAATACTATGCCGTGGGATGTAATGTACAATATCCCTTCACAGGATTTTAGGTAATTAACTCCATATCAAGCTACTACATTAAGTCTAATCCAATGCAACATACTTTTTTGTAGCTACAATAGCTTGTGTTTAAATTTCTATTAATTTATCCCAGTAAACACTCTATCAGGAAAGCTGCAAGGAGTCCTCTCTGTGATTCTCAGTTTCATCAGATCCCAAGACAGAGAAGACTTGTTAGGGTGTTCCCCAAGGGTCTCCCAGTCGTCTGGTTAATGTGAGTTCACGACTCTCCAGCACAGAGTGCCTAATTCAGTGAAATCCAAATGCTGGTTCCTCAAATTGATTAATTTGCAGCCACATAAAGGTCTTGTAAAAGCCAATGAAATCCCATCCCCACGCAGGTGCAAGTTTCCATTTACAGGTGTCGTGGTTTAAGCCCAGCCGGCAACTTGGAACCACGCAGCCGCTCACTCACTCCC